TATATATATATATATATATACATATATATATGTATATGTATATATGCCGATGTTTCAGCGCCCTAGGTTATATGTGCACTATATATGCTGATCGTTGCAACATTAACTATCAACATTAAGTTCACAGATATTCTAAGCGTGCATGATATACGATAATCGTTAAAATCTTAGTCAGTTATAATAAAGTCTATGTAAATTCAACGTGCTATTATACAGCCATCAAATGTGAGCAGATCTGGACGTGTGATATCTAGCCATGGTCCGCATGGCGCGTGACTTTGTAGGCATATATATATATATTCATATTACGCAAGACGCACCTCTCCCAACTTCTTAAGCCTGGGTCCAAGTCTCGTCAGGTCGGCGTTGTCGTCGGCGGAAAGTCCCGCTATGTTTACCTGCGAAACGGCGCAGACGCGTACATAATAGAACAGGTGACTTTTAGCGATTATTTTTCGTCGGTTATACGTTTTTATAGGTCACCTTGAAACATGTTACGCTCTCTTATTACTCGTTTAACAGTTCGGCACGAATATGATGCGGTAAAACGTTTTTAATCAAATCGTGAATAATCTTCGCAACATAGTGGAGTGTGTAACCTCAATCAGACGCAGAAATAACACAGTAACACAGAATACATTACCATGCGCCAACGATCAAAACCACAAATAACGCAGCAAACGGCATATACTAAGTATGTATAGCACAAATTGAAAATTAGAAATAGCTCGTAGAAGACATATTAACACGCAACCACAATTACCCAGAAATAACCCACACAGCATATATTGATATTTAGCCACAGTTAAACTCGGAAATAACTCGAACAGCATAATATTGGTATTTATAGCCACAGTTAAACTCAGAAATAACTCGCATAGCGTGTAATATTACGTACGTGATTACAATTTAAAGCACACATGACTAGCACATCACACATACTGCTACGTACCATGATTAATTCATTGGAAATTCTGCAGAGCGACCTTTATCGTGCTACGAGCGTCAGAATTTCGTGGTAGATCGAAGCAAAGTGATGCGGAGAGGGTCTATGTCCTCCGGGGTACTGCCGGAACGTACCCTGGGTACAGTCCGGTATACCGGAACGTACCCTGGTACTATCTAATATGCCGGACCGTACCTCGCCTACTCCACTAACGAGTCTAGGGAGTCGCCTACGCCTACTCCCTAACCCGAACCCGAACCCTAACCCTAATCGTAACCCTAACCCTAACCATATCAAATAGTGACCAGGGTACGTTCCGGTGTACCGGACCGTACCCAGGGTACGTTCCGGCAGTACCCTGGGGAACATAGACCCTATGAGCGATACTATAGACATGTTTCGTTTCGTCGCACATTAAGGATGTATTGAAGATCCATTAATTCCTATTGAGAACCAATCAATGTAAGTGGCAGAGCATGGTCAGATTATTTTATCACAATAATTATGTTTTTAATCTGCATATATGCCACGTTACATGTTCAGATACCCTAGATGCACGTTTTGTGTCACAAGTAACATATGCGTTTTCTACTAGTACAGACAAATGTACTGTTTATGCGTTTATATATACATATAATATATATATATATATATATATATATATATATTAGCGCTAGAGTGCGACGTCGGTTAGGTGCACTATATATCGCCA